ATATATATATATATATGATACATATATATGATACATATATATGATACATATATATGATACATATATATATATATATGATATATATATATGTACATACAATGAAAACATTTGCTTAAGATAAAAACTACAATATACATGTATAACGCGCATGCACATTCACATTCACGAATGTACGCGCATGTATATTTTGCGTATCTATCATATATATCCATATAAGAATCAAGTTACTTAAAGAGATATGACAAATGCTCAGATACTATGATTTCAAAATTCCATATTTTTTTACCCTTTAATTTTCTATAATTACGACAATGGAGATATTTGCTCATTGTTTATAACAACATATCACAGAATGCAATTTGACTGGAATCACTTAAAAAGTATATGCAAGAACTTTTTCATTCAATATATTAAATATTTTTAAATATATATTTTTAGTATATAGGGTGTTAAAAAAAACTATTCAGCATTTACATAGATAGTATACACTATACTGAGTATAAAAAACCTTAGTGAATATAGGTCAAAAGCTCGATTGTTTTTGAGATATAAACATTTTTGTATGTTTATAAATTTGATTACACATTTATAAAGTATCATGCTAAAAATGTCATATTATTCTCAAGAAATGGCAGATATGCATATTTTTATATGATCGTGCTAATGAAAATGCTTCTGTTGCGCGACGTTTTTACGCTTAACGTACAAAATGCTAATATACAAAAATATTTACGTCTCAGAAACGGTTAAGTTTTTGATCTGTGTTCACCAAGGTTTTTTTACTCACAGTATGGTGTGTACTATTTACCATATAAATGCTGAATGATTTTTTTAAACATCCTGTATATGTGTATTTAATATTTACAAGTTTCTTGTAATTTCAGGAAACGAGACAAAGCAAAGATGAAAAAATTTGTGAAACCGGATCATAAAATAAATTTGGATGATCATCAGTAGACCTTTTACAATAAAGAGGATTTAATACTTGCCTTAATAGCATAATTCTATAGGTATCATATAATCTCAAGGACAGGATTAAAAAAGATTTAATACCTGATTTAATTAATCTAATATTCTCTTTTTATTTAACATGATTTTTTTTCATGTTGAAAAAATATATTTGTATAAATTAAATTTTCGTATATAGCTAACTAAAATACGAAAATATAGAAATATATAGAAACATAAATGTATAATATATCGAATAGTTTTCTCAACATTTAGCAAAATTTTACAATATACAAGTTATTCCTAAATGAAAATAGAATTGCTTCAATTTTATTGCTTACGCCTGTAACACATCTTATGTTGTAATGTACAGTCTTGGTATAAAGCATAACTATAAAATACAATAATACTCTTAATTTGCTGGAAAAGGCGCTAATAAAAGAACAGATGAAAAGATCCGTCTAAAAAAGATGTGGCTGTATTACCATTTTATAAAAAAATATTTTCCATGCTTGAATCATACAATATAGCATTCAAAAGTTTTTGATTCAGTTCTTTATTTAAAAAAAGAAAAAATTCCAAACATGGATATCATTTTTATTTATTATATTTTTAGGCCGCCAAAAGGTGGTCTAATTTCTTAACAAAATTGTTATAAAAATAAATATCAATAAAATTTATTTTTTATTAGTTATAAAACGTTTACGTCAATTTGTGCTTTATATTATACTTACGATCAAGGCTGTATATACATTTTTTATTATTTTCTTAATTTTTAATTCCTTATTGGATTCTCGTTTATTTTATTATACTTCATTTTAATTATCTTTTAGAATTGTTTGAATTTAACTTTTTGGTCTCATTTCAATTCTATTAAATCTCATTTTTATTATTTACAATTTGCTTATTTTTTATTTTAAGATTTTTTAGCACATATGTAACATCATATAATAGTTGCAATTGTTCCTGCAACTGATTAGATATCCACCGCTTCTGATTTTCTGCAATAGTGAGTTTTTCTTTTTCGCAATAAAGTAAAACTTCTACGTATTTCGTGCGCATTTCACATTTGTGCGCTAAAATTTTAGCATCATCTTTGTTTTTTATATACTGCTCTTCAGTGAGATAATTAAATTTATTTAATTTAGATAAATTAACATTTGCCTCTTTGTGAATGTCATGTAGCATTGTGATTATAGATTTTTCTAATTCAGAAATTACTATAGATCTTGTCATGTATAAATGCATATTATTGATTTCACTTTTATATTCTTTTATTGCATTTCTGAAAAACAAATCTTACGTCACTAATTTAAAAAAATATAACTAAAGGAATTTTTTAAATATATATATATTATTTAGTATAATTAATATATATATATTATTTAGTATAATTAATATATATATATATATATATATATATATATATATATTATTTAGTATAAATTGATTTACGTGTGCAGGATGAAGTCCTGTGTTTTAGAAATTACGCTTTTTTGGATCATTGACAATTGATTCTTTACAGCTATATTTTCTGACAGTAAATGGAGTATGGAGCATGGCACATGTTTTGATACTTCCAGTTGAAATATACTAACCAGATCCAAAAGACGATTATATAATTCTTTTTTAAATCTAAATAAAAAACACTTTAGTCAAATAAGATATAACTTCTCTCACAATAAGAGAAAATAAGTTTTATTTATTATACCTTCCTCTGTCAATCTTGAATTTACGTTCAATTTTACATAAGTTTTCTGCTATCTGTTCTTTTTCATTAATTAAGGATTGACTTTTTATATGTAGTTTCTTTTCTAGAATATGTTGTATTGATTTGTAATCTTCCAAAATATTAGTTTTGGCATCTTAACAGATAAAAATTAGGAAATAAATAATTAACATGGAAAAAGAAAAGAGAGAAGGAAATAAAAAATTTAATAAATTTATGTGTAAATTTATATGTAAATACAGAGACTGCTAAAAGTTCAGGGCTACCTAAATAATTTCCGAACGGTTCGAGATATTGTATTGAAATTTAGGGTTACAATGACAAAATGTAATCTATCATGTAATTTTAAAAACAGTTACTTCAACGTGCGCGAAGCCTTATCTTCCTCACGTCCTCGTCATGGGCCTTCCTAGTGCCAAAAAACACCAATGTTTAAATGAGCATAACTCTGCGAAAAAAAATCGTAGAGAGACCTCAACGACCTCGTATTCTTGTTTCGAAAAGCCCTTTCAAACAAACCCTCATTCGACACTACATGCCATTTAAGATTTTCAATCCCTCTTCATTTACCCCCTTTACATTTTGCCATTGTAACCCTATAAATTTTAATCCAATATCTCGAACGTTCAAAAATTATTTAGGTGGCCCCATGGTGTAAGTACACTTAAACCATGAGTGGCCCCGAACTTGTGGCAGTTTCTATTTATATGTATATATACAGGGTGCCGAAATTTGCGAATCAAAATATCATAGCAAGAAACTCTTCGAAATATTAAAGAAAAAAGTTGTTTGAAAATTTTAATTTTAAGCAATAGTTCTTGAGATATAAGGACAAATTCACACCTTGACAGAAAAGCGGAAA